AGCAACAGTTGCTGATCGCATCATTAATAAATGTGCGATCAGCAACAGTTGCTGATCGCATGTGTGCACGTTGCACGCGATCAGCAACGGTTGCTGATCGTGTGTGTCATGCACACAGTCAGCAACCGTTTGTTGACCGTGTGCCATGCACATGGTCAGCGCTTGCTGGCCACGTGCATGCGACAATTCTATTTTTTTTATTATAAATAAATATAAATATGTATATACAAATATAGAAGTGCATGATCAGCATATGTGTATTTTGTGAGCATCATATGCACACACGCCCATGACAAAAATTGAATTAAATTAAATCCCATTTAATTTAATTTCAGTCCGATTCAATTCGATTGCAAACATATTTGCTATATCATCTCTTCCGTACTACGTCATCCAAAATTGGTTATGGTGTGTGACATCCCTAGGTTCATCACTGAGCTGGTAGTAAGACTTGCACTAACACATTAGTACTCCCAAGAGAATTGATTGTCCCGATCAACCTCTAGTTCTACAAGCCATGATTGACATCTAGCAATATGTCATGGCTACCCAGACAGTGTGAATGTTTTAAGAACATAATGAACCTATCAGCTTTGGTTACAGTGTAATTCAATCCCTCTGCCTTACTATGTCTCGATCGAACAAAGACCATGGAATATTTGTCAAGTCACCAATTCGATCATATGCACAAATCTAATTGACATGCACTTTATATGAGACATGAACAGTTCATTCTCGGTTACAACCCCGGCCGAGGATTTCAATGCAATGTCAAGATTAGATTGCATAGGACATCATTATTGTACCTTGCATATAACAAGGAGACAGATTCCATTTTGCGCACACGTGTAACTTCGTATGTGAACGAACTATGGCCATCAAGTACAGAGATGAATCAACGAAGCGGCAATATGCGCACCTGTGAACCATAGCCATCCAACATACAAGTCAACACTGTACCTCAGGTCTAAGGATTATCCATACAAGACCAGAGCACGAACGATTAGACATTGACCACGCTAAAAGTTTCCATGTTGCTAATCGTTCTATGCATGTCACGTTCAGTGAACTTGTCTGATACAAGCACCTGTGTTCTAACTCGAGTATCGCAATATCCAATGACCCGTGACTTGTCATTCCCTTAAGTATCCAATACTTATTAGTGAAATTATGAACACACCGGTCTCAACAGGATCATTAATATCCACTCAATGATCCATCGACCGAGAACAATTTAAAGATTCAGTCTAACTGTGAACCTGTCACACATATTCTTAACGTCTCAAGAATAGATCCAGTCACAACTGATCTTATGGAATCATTCATATATTTAAATAATTGGACAAGTGAATGAATGCGTCCTTGCCATTAAATAAATAATGTAATTGAAAGTACAACTTAAATCCCTAACATGTAACTATTACATGGTAACTTTAGGGTGTACATCTAACACCGTGAACCTCTAGGTAGTCAGATTTCTCACGCTCATACTTCTGGATTATCAAAAGATAAACCGACCGGTCAATTTCCGAACACACCCGTAATTCAAAAATCACGAGACGGTAGCTATCTGCATTTCTACCTCGTTTATCATACCAGATGGGTTGGTCAATGTGCTGGGCTAGCCTAGCCTGCCCCTCTATTTCCATGGAGGTCAAAGTTTTTCATGGAAACGTTAGCAGGGAGGGGTAGGTACGGAATCAGGGAGAGACGTAGTAAAGAAGAAGACAGTAGCTTTACATTTATTGTTACTACAAGCGGTAATATGGAAAACGCGGGACTGCGTAAATTTTTCGTTAGGTCGGGCTCCCATTAAATCCGAACGCACAGCACATTGATTCTTCCATGAGAACCTCTGCCACCAAGTGAGGTCACGCGCACCGCCAAGGTGGTTGGCCAGATAGTAAAGAGGGCCGGGGTGTTTTCGAGATCGCGAGTACTATTCACATCACGAGCGAATTTCTGAACAGCTCGTGCCGCGTCGTCTAGAGATGAGCATGGTTTCAGGATAGAACCTGCAACTTCAGAACCGGACCGGTGGGAACCTGTAGGTTCCATGTTCCAAGGTATGTAGGGTAGGTTCTTCGTTCTAGGTTTCAAAAATTAAGGAACATGTTTCGACGGGCAGGTTTCAGATGGAACCTGAAACAAGTTTTTGTGTTTTTCTTGGTCTATATCTTCGTGTGATCCTGCGGTATTCTATGGCGTTCGATGATGGGTGTATAATATGGAATCACTAGTTTGGGCTTCCATTTTATGACTGAGAGTTTTATTTTGTTAATGTTTTATATTATTTATGTGGATTGTAGCAGCAAGTGGTAGTTATTTAAAGTGACGATTCGCTGCAATCACTCAATCATAATACAGGTGGAACCTGAGTAGACTTTGGAACCGATCTTGGAACTTGTGACAGGGTAGGTTCTAGGTTATAGGGTATGCAGAGTAGGTTTCAGGTTCCAAAAAATAAGGAACCTGTTCCAACAGGTAGATTTCAGATTTTAGGTAGAACCTATATAGAACCTGGAACCGCTCACCCTTAGTTTCACCTGATTTCAGTATATTTCGTGTGCGAAGAGTTTCAGGCAGCTAGCGTTTTAGTGAGGGCTGCACTGACGGGCTCGCCAACCTTGAGTTTTCGGATCACCGGTGGCATAAAGATGTTATGGCTTTAATCTTAACAAAAAAAAATTATGGAATAAGGTGCTATCAAATCAATGATAGTTAGATTTGGCAGAAAAGAAAATTAAGAGCCATGTTTTCACAGGAGGAAATGCAATAAGATCTTTGATCGATGAATTAAAGATATGGCTATCGTCCATTATTTATTTTTAGTTTAAGTTTGTACGTTGGTCATGACCATGTTTGTACGTTATCATTAACCAACTAAAGCTTGGTTGGAGAAAATTTCTCCGGTCGAAGATGGAGAAAAATATAACAAATTTTGGTTTAATATGATCTTTCTCTTGTTTAAAAGATGACTTACAGTCTGACATATCACTAATTAATCGATTTCGTAAATCAATTTTGGTATTGCTCAAACTCTATTAACTCTGTCAAAGCGATTATGACTCAATCGTCCCCTTTTTTTGGTTCTTGGGAACTTTTTTTACCTTCCACTTCAGATAAATGCAAGTACATTGTTAAAAGCAGAGTAAACACTAAATCTTATCCTAAAAACTATGGTTAATTTATGCATCTATTAGCCAAACAAGGCTGCTTAATGATAATAGCAAATGCGACTTCTCATTGTTTCTTGAGATGTGCAAGGAAGTGATTAATCAAGGCCTCGAGTTTCACGGAAAAATGAATGATTCGAAAAAATATTTTCCTAGAAATAATCATTTGTATTGCTTGAAATTAGTCGATAAAAATGTTCAATTATCGACAACATATTATGTCTAAATATTTTCGTGGACGATGAATTTTTTTTTCATTCGTTCATTTTTGGGAAAATTCCAAATAAGTGCCTTTATTTTCTCAAATAAGGGCTTGAAGTGGATCTTGTCTCAAATAAAGACACGAAGTGTCCTCATTTTCTCAAATAAGGATTTGAAGTTGCTATAATAGTTTCAAATAAAGGTCTCATCCCGCCGGGCGGCCAAATTTTGTGGTTGATCAAAGGTATTTTCGTCTAAAAACAATTTTAACATAAATTTTAATTAAATTAGTTAAAAATTTTAAAAAAATTTATTTAAAAAAAAGAAAAAAAAAACAAGGGGGAGGCTTGGTTGCCAGCCCTCCCCGCTTGTGGCTGCCGCCCCATCGTTGGTGGGGCGGCGCCTTGGCCGTTAGGGGGCCGGCGACCCTCAACAGCTAGAGGCGAGGGCCCGGTGGCCTTCACCAGAATCGGGAGATGGTCGCCGGCCCTCGCTGAGAGACTAAATTCATTAATATCCGCAAAACCCTAGATCTCCACGTCCATTCGTTTGCTCTTAAAAAAGGACCACAACCATAACATTTTTGATGACGTCATCTCTCACTGCTATATAAACAAGGGCCGTGTCAACACACACACACACACACGAAGCCACAAATCCTCTCTCACTAGTCTCAGAAACTGCAACATCGACACGACTATGGAGATGAAGAGATCATCGTCGTTGCCGTCGTCGTCGCTTGTTTGCTTAGTGTTGCTCTTGAGCCTCTCTCTTGCACGCAACGTCAGTGTCGAGGGAGCTCGGGCGCTGAAGAGCAAGGACAAGGTCGTCCGCCCTCAGAACATCGATGGAGGCCTCGGCGGGTACTACTTCCCGAGCCCGGACGGGGCCTTGCCGGGCCCTGCATTCTCCGGCGGGATGGGGTTTGGGCCGTCCTGGTTTTGCACGCTCCCCGGAGGGTGCATTCCGGCCGCTCCCATTTTCCCGGGTTCAACCCTCGGCAAATCCCCATGAGCCAGGGAGAGAGAGAGAGAGAGAGAGAGAGAGAGAGAGAGAGAGAGAGAGAGAGAGAGAGAGAGAGAGAGAGAGAGAGAGAGAGAGAGGAATGTTGATGTTACCCAACTTTGGGCATGTGAGATCTTACTTGAGGGTTTTAACGGTCGTACGAACCGCTGGTTCAGGTGGGATTCAGTCACTTTCAGATGGTTTCTGGTGTTGTTTCTCTATATATCTTTCTTGGTCCTGTCTTAGTCGAAAAGGGTGTGGTTTGGGAGTGTCTTAGCTCATGTTTGAACGTCGTAGGCAGAGAAATGCAGATGGCAAATGTTGTGTGTTTTGCAAGATCTGCATTTTGATGATCAGTAGGGTGTTTGTGTGGCTTTCGTTTGTGATCTTATGTAGTAAGTACAAATAAACATGTTCTCTCTCTCTCTAAACATTTGGGGTTCGCAGCCCGGTTTTGCGATCTCGGAGGATGCAACTAATTTTGCACGTGAACGACGGTCTCATTCTTCGGTTTGTTTGATCAAACAATCGGTAGATGTAGAACACGAAGCAAAGATCAGTTGTCCATCTGGTTAAGTAACAAAGATCATAGAATAGTGACGAGTGCGACAGCAAGCGGCAACTGTAATTTGAAATTATTTCACGTACTAATTTCAGTGAAGCGGGCAATAAACGGGAGTTTGGCGTGTTTAATCATGGTACAAAGCAGCTGAACCGTAGAACATAAGATGGTCGCTCTTCATTGCGCGCCATAAAGAATGCGGAATCAGCCGAGACACGAATAGACCAGCGACTTCTCCTCGATAAGCTCATTTGCCGTGGCATCCATCTTCGCCCTCGAGAACTCATCAATCTTAAGTTCTGCACGTTATAAGTTAGGGGTTTCTGTATAAGTGCTAAACATATTCGGGTTGCCAAAACAGTGTCTCACAATCGACTACTTATCACCATGACTTTGATAGAGTACAAGATGCGGCTGACTCTGATGAGATTTCTGCATATTTATATAGTGATTCTTACTTTGCATGATCTCATAATGCCTGTATCGAAATCACGAATTGTATGATAATGTGGTCATGTGAGCAATCGTGCACTCGCGTGAGGATAACTGTACCTCGAACGATCGACCATTCTCCATTCTCACATGTGACGGGGAAAGAGTAGATAAGGCCTGGTTGGATTCCATATGAACCATCCGAGCAGACTCCCATGGAGACCCATGCTCCCTGTTTCGTACAGTTTCAAGTGATTGAGGGAACTCGTAAAACGATACGCAAAATAAATTGAAGACATCGAATCACGTTGACCACTCGAAAATTTATCGATACCTTCGGTGTGCCGAGCACCCAATCACGTATATGGTCACAGGCGGCGCTCGCAGCCGATAGAGCACTCGAAAGCTTCCGAGCCTTTATGATTGCAGCGCCGCGCTGTTGAACGGTAGTTATGAACTCCGTATTCAGCCTAAGTAAAAAGATGACAGAAGATCAAAGAGTCACGTCAAGATTTCTTCAATTTTGGTGAATACTATGCACTTGGAGTGAGCAACAAATCTAACAAAGTGGAGCAAAATTAGGTTCTAGGAGCGGGACGCGGTCTCGCATATCGGGCCTGTTTGCATTTCAACTAATTGATCAAGCATCGGTAAAACATGGAGAAATAAACCGAGGAAACCAGAATGAGGCTTATTGCAGAGAAATGTGACCCAATGACAGGCTGTAAGGTCAATAGTATAAAAAATTGCGCTATCAATCGAGACTATGAGCTACCATTTATCGTTGGCAATGACATCTCTGACAGATCTCTCGCCACTGCTGGTGGCGACGGTGGCGTGATTAACATCTGGATATTGAGTCGATGAGTGGTTTCCCCAGATGATGACGTTCTTCACATCGCTCACGTGCACCTTCAGCTTTTCGGCTATTTGGCCCAGCGCTCTGTTGTGATCGAGTCTCGTGAGGCACGTGATGTTCTTCTCAGGGATCGAAGGAGCAAACTCTTTCAGGACCAGGGCATTCGTGTTCGCGGGGTTGGCAATCACTAGAACCTGCCGAATACAAGTAAAAAAGAAACATCTCACTAGAGAAAAGCAAGAACTTTTCTATGCTCCTCTATAGGAAAAAAGAGGCATTGTTCCTTCAACCTGAGAAGTGAAATTTGTCCAATCTGTCTCACCTTGCAATCATCAGCGGCATGCTGCTCCAAGGCCGAAGCTTGAGCCTTGTAAATCGAGACGTTCCTAGACATGACATCCTTCCTCTCCATGCCTTCTTTGCGCGGCATTCCGCCCAGCATAACAGCTATATTTACGTCTCTGCAAGCTTCGACGACATCCGTAGTGGCCATGACACCTGATAAACCACACGAATGGTAATGCGACTATTTAGACACTGATTACAACAAAATTTCAGGTCCACATAAGATGAGCAATTGGCTTCTAGAGGTTTGCCTCTGAGAAGAGGAAAGGCGCCGTCGATCAGCTCCATCTTCACGCCATTCAAAGCCTCGGCAGCTTCTTCGATATCGAGCATGTGAATAATCACAGGCTGATCGGGTCCTAACATGACTCCCCTCGCAATCATAGGCAGGAGGGCATAGCCGATTTGTCCTGTGGAAGCAAAATGGGGAACTCTCGCTTAAAAATTATGGCAACCGGCGTGAATTCAAAGGAGAACCCATGCCATTACTGTTAATCTTGACCTCATAAATTGATGGAACTGTAACTTCAACCCTAACAACGAATCCATGTAATTGAACATTATGCAAGATTCGACATTGATGAACCATCTGAGCACTAAATCCGATAGTGACCAATCTGATAAGAGAAAATGGAGGTGATCGATTGAAGTAAAAACGTGCCTGCAGCACCGGTAACCAGTACTTTCACTGGTTCCTTCTCCACGTTCATCGAACTCCACATATGTCTGATGATCTTCCAGAACAAAGAAACCGAGAACGAAACGACCACAGCTTTCTCAAAGAGCTTGCCGTAATCCATTTCTCGTCAGGATAAAGAACACTTTATTTGAAGGATCATGCCATATATATAACGGTCCTATCATTTAGTTGTGCCTGTTCGGAATCAACTCCTAGAAGCCTGAAACAAGAAACAGAAACGAGGTCCACAAGAAACCTGAAGGAATACAATTGAGTAGTGTCTTAGCTGGGAAGCAAAGAACTTAAATGACCCTTTCTTGTTGTAAACTACAAACGTATTGAATTATTTTTTCTCTAAAGTACGATCTAAAAAAAATGAAAATAGAGGAGGATTACCAGCAGCACCAGGGGCTAGAACTGAAGTTGCTTGTTTAGCCATTGATGCCAGAGCTCTAGATGACAGACAAAACAACTATTCTAGGAGTGCACAATCTATTTAAGAAACACTATTCACAATGATTCTTCTGTTTTCCGTCAGTTCGCACCAACAATGATCAGGAATGGTGACAAACGATTATCGAGGATGGCGATAAAAGATGAGCTTCTAGATGCTACATCAACTCATGCTTATGAACATAATGGGTCTTTGCTTTGTTCCATTTCGGCATATCATTTTAATTAATGTCCATGAATTTCTCTTCAGAAATTAACGCACAGGCTAGCTTTGAAAACAACCTAACTGCACTATTTTTCTTCTTCCAGAGCAAAAAGAAAGAAGTGCTCCTGATACTTATGTCTTGTCAAGGAAGAGATGTGTCGGTTTCTGCGCGTCACGCTATTAGAGCAGTAAATCATTTTCAGAAGCAGAACCAAGCTACACAAAAGCTTTCCCGAACAACCATTACGCAAATGAAATTTACTCGAACGTCGGATACAAAGTTAGTTCAAGCAAGGACTGAAAGATGGTTACTCATGGTTCAAGTTCAATCCTTGGAATAATCCAGTGAATTATAAGTTTGAAAGACTGCATAAATGAACCCAGCATCGACCATAACCCACCACATTAGTACTTCATTATGCAGCTGCCTCAATTCGGAGTTTAGGACAAAAAAGGCCGCATTTTTCCCTATGCAACAATGATATTGCTATCAATATGCAGGACATAAGGCGAGGCATGCATAGGCCAATGACTTCTCTTCAATAAGATCATTCATTGTAGCATCCATCTTTGCCCTCGAAAGCTCGTCAATCTCGAGCCCTTCATATTACGAGCGATTGTTTCTGAAGGGAACTATCATAATATTGAACAGCAAAGATATCAAAACAGCTTCACTGCTTTTATAAGATTAAACTTTTCACAGGAATATTTACATAATGATAGGCCATGAAACCTCATGTGTATATCATTAATATGGTCCTTTTAATCTGACCCATCTTAATACTGATTCATATGGTATGAATGTAGTCCGTGAACTAAGCACCAGAAACTTCTCACAGCGCTAACAAATCACCAAATCCACATAGTTGGTATGATGCGTTCTAAATCGGATTTATAAGGGGCGACAGCAACAATGTTGCAGTAGATGATCACGTAGCTTCAGTGAGTTCGGGTTCTTGTTTGCAACACAGTTTGGACAATTGATGATTCTCCTTTCTTACATGTAACCGGGAAAGAGTAAATGAGACCAGATTGAATTCCATAGAACCGTCTGAACAAACTCCCATGGAAACCCATGTCCCCTGTTCCATGAACTGAAATCTCGTAAATCTTTCCTCAGTTGGAAAGTAAAAGAATACCACAAGATATCAAATTCGAGATGTCGGTTATCGACCTCAGGAGTGCCAGGCACCCTGACACGTATATGATTCACATGCGGCACTTGCAGCAGACAGCCCATTTGATAGCTTCCGAGCCTTGATGGCATCATGGCTTTTTTCTTTTTTTTTTTTCCCTTCTTTTTTTTGTTTTTTTTTTTTTTTTATTTTTTTAAAAAATTTTTTTTTTTTTTTTTTTTTTTTTTTTATTTTTTTTTTTTTTTTATTTTTTTTTTTTTTTTTTTTTTTTTTCTTTTAATTATTAAGTATTTTTTTTTTTTTTTTTTCTAAAATAATCCTTTTGTTTTTTTTATTTTTATTGGGGGTGGGTTTTTTTTTGGTCCTCCACTGCTACTTGTACAGTAGCGTTGAAATCCGTGTTCAACCTAGGAGGATAATTCAAATCATGCTCATAATGGAGCGAGATTGCGATGAATGTGCCTTGAAATGTCAGTACCAAGTGTTGGGCCGCATGTTTCGTATTTCAGTTCAAGCAGGGGAAGAAATAGAAGAGAAAGTCTCGAGCTACTTTGATTTCGGACAAACAATTTAAGTAATGTTCTCCATTGATGAACCACTTGTCATCGGCAACATGTTCTCGGACAGATTTCTCTCTGCTGCTGATGGTCACGGTGGCATGATTAGCATCTGAATGCTGAGTAGACTAGTGGGTCGCCCCAAGCGACGACGTTTTTCACCTCGCTTACAGGCAGCCTTTCGGCTACTTGGACCGGAGCTCGGTTATGCTCAAGGTCTCTTAAGGCATGTGACGTTCTTCTACGGGATCGAAATTAGGGAAATCTTTCAGGACAAGGGGCGTTTGTGGCCCGCCAGGTTGGCAGCCACTAGTACCTGTGCAAGTAAAGTATAAGAAAAGTATAAGAAAAGTTACGGCATCTCTGCATAGAGGCAAGAATATCGCAGATTGCTCTTTCAATTTGCCCGAATTAGAGATCTTAACAGATGCGAAGTTTTGAGATTTCTTGAACAGGAACAGCCTTTCAGATCAAGAAAATGAGCGTTTGACGTGGAAATTGGTTAAGAGATGGGAAAAGGAAGCAAAACAGAAGCTCTTATTTCCTGGACTTGCTGCTCACCTTGCAGTCAGCAGCGGCATGTCACTCCTAGGTCTGAAGCATGAGCCTTGCAGATCGGTACGTTCTCATCACATCCTTCCTCGCCATGCCTTCCTTGCTCGGATGCCCCGGCAAGGCGGCAACCATTACGGCTATGTTGACGCCTTCGCAAGCTTCGACAACATTTGCATTAGAAACAACACCGACGAGCCACCCAAATTAGTAAGCAGGCGAAGTGACCTCGTCGATGCTCGCAGCTTGGCATGCTCGCCTTCGGGCAGAGGAAATGCCGGCATCGATCGATTCCATCTCGACCCCCAGTTCAAGGCCTCGGCAGATGGCTCGGCCTGGTCCGTGCCCTAGCATGATGCATCCGCAATCATAAGAACAAGCAGGTGGCGACAGTGACATTTTCTGGTGATGTAAACATGAAATTCACAAATCTTGCACACACGTTCACATTCAACATTTCATGAAAGCATCGAGGCTCCATTTATTTCGTAGAAAATGAATGGCTTGGAAATTTTTTTCTTAAAAATGATCACTTGTATTATTTATAAAAACGAATCAACCCAAAATATTTCATATCGTCTTAAAAATAGTTCAAATATAAATTATTATTAATAATAAAAAAATATTTTTTAATCATTACAAACGAGCCAATAACAGGGAAAATGATGACATGGCACAAATCGTGGGCCCCACTAGTCCTAGTCAGCGCCATCATCCATCCACTGCACATACCTGACTGAACGAATTTGTTCTTCTTCAGCGACACCGAGCAGAGAAGGAAGGGGAAGGGAGCTCTCGGCGAGCGAGAGGCAAAGAGCCGAAGATGCGTCGCCTCAGAGAAGCCGCGTCGCTCGCTCGCGACCTCCGCGGCGCGCGCTTCCCCGGCGGCCGTTGCGGCCGGAGCTTCTGCCGTTCTCCGCCGGACGCCGCGCCGGCCGATGATCTCGAAAGCAGCCAAGTCGGTGTCGATTCTCCTGGGTTTTGATCCTTTTCTCGCTTCTCTTTCGATGTTCCGATGACGATTCTGCGAAGTCGAGGTTGGGGCTCTGGGTTGAAAACGAGGTTCCTTCTCCTTGGGACAGGTGTTGGTCGAGGGAAGAGGCTGCTCGAGGACGGCGATTCTCCATCGGCCTTCGGCCCTCAATGCTCTCAGCACGGCAATGGTGCGTTCGTTGTTCAAAATCTCCTCTTGCGGTTTCCGGCGTTCTTGGATTGATCCCCTTTGCCTTTTTCCCGATTTCTCCCGTTTTTAGGGGAGGCGCTTGATGTGTGTAGCAACGTGTGTGTGCGCTTTTTTTTTTGGGGTTTTCAGGGCGCTAGGTTGCAGAAACTGTACAAAAACTGGGAAGATGATCCGGACATAGGTTTCGTGATGATGAAGGTTAGTGGTCTCTTTCTATGCCGATGGATAACGAATGCTTATTGATGCTGTGGTGTTGTTCATCAAAAGAAATGATATTGTTTGGATGTCGAACTTATGAAGGGCAGTGGCAGGGCTTTTTGTGCCGGGGGCGATATTGTTAGCCTCTACCAATTGATAAATAGAGGTAATGCCAGTTTACTACTATGCTCGCTTTATGTTAAATCTGCTTCAAAGTTCTTTTGGTATGATTATTTCTTCCTAAAGAAAACATCTGTCTGTTGTTGATCAAAGGACAAGACGAAATATGCTTACATTTGCCTAAAATGAAGCTGATGGAAAGGTTTATATCAAAATCAGTATTTGAGGGATTCTTGAGCAAAAAAGTGAATGCTTTACGGACTAAAATGTTGAATCTCAAACTTTCTTGAGAGCTTCAATGCAAAACTATCTAAACAACAAAAAGACTATTTAGGGTTTTGCAAGAAAAGTGAAAGTTTTGGATGTCATCTGCATCTGCTAATGTATTTGACAAACTTAAAAATGGTGCCACCCGATCGCTTGGTTCTTAGGCCACGAACACGTGTGCTTGAATAAAATTGTCTTGCTGGAATTTTATGAAGAGTAGGTAGATGTGGCATTGATTAGCTTAAGTGCTGGGTGCACCTGGCAATTGCCTTTGACAACATTGGCTGCAAGTTTTTGTGATTCACCCTTAAACAAATTTTAGAATCTCACATGAGGGGAACAGTATATGTACAATGGGAAGTTTTTGTGATGTCTACATTCTGCGGTTTATTCTCTTGTAATCAGTATATTTTTGGTACTTTGAGGTGATTGCTGTAACCAATTTTCCTATTATATATGGTTTTTCTCTTGTT